GTTTAATTTTATCTAGATTGTTCCCATAAGAGTTTTTACAGGAAATTGGTTGATAGGATTAGAGGAGCAGGAGCCTCTAATGAGCAGTGACTGCTTTATAAAATGCTGAAACAGATACAATATTGCCTTGCCATCTTCCTCTATGGCAGCATCCAGACGCTCAAAAGGCCCCTTAGGATGGCACCTCAATTGGGTTCTCCTTCCTTACAATCCTTCTGGGGCCTGGACATGCCAGTACAGGGAGTAGAGAATAGGTAGTGAGAGAATAGATATTTGATAAGACAGATTCGCCCAAATTACCGTGTTCTTGGGGCAATTTATTTCCCTTTCTGTGCCTCAGAGAATAAACAGAACCTAAGCTCACTGGGTTGTTGTGAAGACTGAACAAAGTCAAACTCTGAAAGTGGTTGGTGCAATGCCTGGCATATAGCGAGCGCCTAATAAATGGTGGTTCAGAAGATAGGGTGAAGAATAAGCCAGCGACCCTGATCCAATCCTAGGAGGCCCAGGGAACCAGACCCACCCCTGTAGCCTCCTGCTCTAAGGGGAGCATGGTCAGCGTCTGCCCCAACCACCACCTAGGGAATGCTCCAGATTTCCCAGCCTGTGGCATGGGCTGTTTCCAAGTAAGGGATAAGGCCTAGCTGGAGATGCCATTCTGGTTTTGCGTGAGACACAAAAGGGAGAAGAAGTGAGGGTGAGGCCTCTCGGATGGGAAGGAGAGGATGGATCCAAAGGAAGTTTCTCAAGCCCCAGCAACCACCCTGCCAGGTATTTGATCTGGTTTAGGATCTACTCCAAGGAATCCTAGAATTGCTATAAGAGCAGTAACAGCATCTGCCCCATTGATCCAGGCGGTAGACTAATCGATGAAGGACAGAGCTCCGGATCGGACAGACAGGATGAGATTCTATGCGGTTGTCAGTCACGCCTGGGTGAGTTCCCCTGTGAGCGTCAGCCCCTTCCTCCCCTAAAGCTAGTTTGGGTAAGAAACCAAACACGGCCCCAGAGCCCCGCCCCGCGGCCCCGGCTCCAGGGCGGGCACAGGGCGGGCACAGGGCGGGCACAGCCCGGACACCCCCCCCCCAGCGGCCAAGGGATCCAGCCTCAGGGGAGCCCGCCGCCCTCCACTCCCGCAGGGGCGGATTCCCTCGTGGTCTCCCGCGCCGCGAGGCGGGGACCGGGTGATTACAAACAGCCGCCGGCCTGATTAGGAGACGTGTAATTAGCAGCTGGCTGAGCCGGAGCCGCCCAGCGCTAATTACAGCGCGGAGAGGCTGGGCAGCGCGCCGCCGCCGCCTGCCTGCCCCACGCGGAGGTCTGCACCCTCGCGGGACCGGACCTGGTGCAGGATCCGGAGGCCGGACCAGCGTCCTCTCCGGGACTGCCTCGGCGGCAGGAGCAAATCATTTACTCAGCCGCGTTTACTGTGCACTTGCTGCGCCCGGCGCAGTGCCCGAGTAATCTCGCTTTCACTGCCATCCTAATGCACGGATGGGGACGCTGGGACTTAGAGTCGCGAATTAACCTCCCCCACAGCACCTGGCTAGCGACTGGCGGGCGGGGTGGTGGTGGTCTCGAAGCTTAGGGGATCGGGAAACCGGGCACCGCGGGACATCAGCCACGTGGACCGCAGCAAGGACTCTGGAGTTGGATGGTTGGGGGGGGGGTCTCCTTACTGGACACGTGACTAGTCTGGGCCCCACCTGCATTTGTAAATGGCCATGAAGTTGGGATTAAGGGAAAGAAGGCGGGGAAGAGTTAGGGGCGTTGATTTTAGGGCGGTGGGAGGCAGGTACTCGGAGGCTGGGTAGTAAACTCTCCGCACGCTGCAGGCCCCTGGCGCCCCCTGCTGGCCAAAGGAGGACCCTGGTGACAGTGTGCGTAATGAGGGGACTCTAGGGTAAAGAGAAAGAATAGTCATTGGTCCCTCAGCAGGGCCACTGTGCCACCCACTCCCTTTCTTCCTTCAGAAGGTCAAAAAAGAGTGGGCAGTGGGGAAATTGAGAACTCTCATTCATGAGCCGTACAGGGCCAGCCATCCAAACCTATACGATTTTACTCATGGGTAGACATGAAGACAACTACAAGAACGTGCATCAAAGTATAGGTATAACAAGAAAATCTGGAAATAATCTAAAAGTCTAGGGAACAGATTTAGCTCAGTGGTTCCTGCGGCTGCTTCACAAGCGCAAGGTCCAGAGTTCTATCCCCGGTACAAAAAAAAAAAAAAAATCAGGGCCGGGGATTTAGCTCAGTGGTTCTGCAGCCTGCCTCACAAGCAAGCACCAAGGACCCAAGTTCGATCCCCGGTACCAAAAAGTAATAATAATAATAAATCAAAAACCCCCCACAAAAGTCTGCATCACGGAGATAATAACAGTGGCACATCCATACAATACAACACTGTAAAGGTGACAACATCGTAGCAGGATAACTGACATGAAAATGTCAAACAACAAGAATGAGTCTTACAATTACGTTGTGCAAAATAAGCCAGATATAAAAGAAACCATGCTGTAAAATACTGATATAAAGTTCAAGAATAAGCAAAACTAATCTATTGTGACAGAAGTCAGAATAGTGTCTACTTCTAGTAAAGGTTGTTTTTTTTTAATTGTACCGGGGATCGAACTCAGGTCCTTGAGCTTTTGAGGTAGGCAGCGGAACCACTGAGCTAAATCCCTGGTCCTAGTAAGGGTTTTGATAAGGAGGAGAGCTAGGGGACCTTCTGGAATACTGAAATGCTCTCTGTATCTTAACCTAGGTGGTGCTCACACAAATCTACACATATGTAAAAATTCAGAGTTTAAGAACTATTATGCACTATATATATATACATATATATATATACACACTATATCCCAATAAATATTTTTAGATATTTAAGTAAACAGGGAAGAAAAATAGAGCACTATTATTATCCTCTAGTACTTTGTGTGTGTGTGGTAGTGGGGATTGGACCTGGGGCCTTCCACTGAACTACACCCCAGCCCTTTTGAATTTTTTTCATTATTTTGAGATAGGGTCTTGTTGAGTCACTAAGTTGCCCAACCTGGGCTTCAGCTTGCAATCTCCCTGCCTCAGCCTCCCAGAGTGCTGGGATCACCATGCCTGGACTGATCCTCTTTTCCTTTTTTTTTTTTTTTAAATCAGAACATGTTTGCAGTACACAATAATTACATTCATCGTGAGGAATTGGTACATGTGCACAACACATCTTAACTCTTTTTACATCTCTTTCCCTTCTCTTCCCTCCCCCTTGATCCCTCTATTCTTAATTTTATTTATTTATTTTGGTCCCGGGGATCGAACTCAGGACCTTGTGCTTTCGAGGCAGGCGCGGTGCCACTGAGCTAAATCCCCAGCCCAATCCTCTATCCTTGAAAGGGAAAACCATAACTTAACGTACGGGACAGTTCTCAAACTGTTTTGTCTCACAACCCATTTAGACTCTTAAATTGAAGATTGCAAAAGCACTTTTGTTTTTGAGGGTTACATCTATCAATATTTACCATGGACTTATTACTGAGAAATGAGGGACCAAGAGATGGAGGAAGTGGGGGCGGGAGGGAAGGGGACGTAAAGAGAATTAAGACGAATTACACATATATGTACCAACTCCCCACGATGAATGTGTTCGCTATATATTACATCTATGTACTAATAAAAATTGTTTGAAAAACTTAAAAAACCAAATGTTTAAAACATATAACTACAAGTAGGCATGGTCGCACACGTCTGATACTCGGAAGCTTGAGCCAGGAGGATGGCAAATTCAAGCCCAGCCTGGGCAACTTAAGTGAGATCCTGTCTCAAAAAATAAAAAGTGGAGGGGCCGGGAATTTAATTCAGTGGTTCAGCCGCCCGCCTTGCAAGCGCAAGGTCCTGAGTTTGATCCCCGCACCAAAAATAAAAAACCATACAACAACAACAACAAAACAACAAAAAGGGCTAGAGTTGTAGCTCATGGTAGAACTCCTCTGGGTTGTCTCTAGTTCCTTTCCCCTACCCCCACCCCCAAAACAGTACCTACAGCCGGGGATTTAGCTCAGTGGTTTCGCCGCCTGCTTCGCAAGTGCAAGGACCCGAGTTCGATCCCCGGTACCAAAACAAACAAAAAAACAATACCTACAGTTGCACCACCAGTCAGAGCAACGGTGTTGTCACATATCATAGCACCTGGACAACTTTACTGTTCATTCTTAAAGAATTAAAATGGCAAACAATATTTTATTACTATGAAAGTAATTTTGAAGTCGGGGACTCTCTAAACAGAGTCTTGGAAATCTCAGTGATCCCTAGGCCACATTCTGAGAAACGCTGACACGGGAAAAAAAATGATAGAAGAAAACACACTATTTGACACATATTCTCTCTCGATGTTGGATAATTTATTTTTATTTGCTTTTTCGTATTTTCTGTTTAAAGATTGGCAAATACAGTGACCTCGTATTGTTCGTGGATATAATAAAAACGTGCCAATCAACCGGTTCCATATACGACTACTGAAAGGCCCAAAGAGTAATAGCATGTTTGGCTATAAGAAGAAAAACCAAAAAAAAAAAAACCCCAAAAAAAACCAAAAAAAAAAAAAGGAAAGAAAGAAGAAAAACCGAGCTCTAACCTGAGAAAAAGGGTGCGATTTCTCGTGTGTCAATCCTTGGGCTTCAAGTGGTGGATCTTGGCCTCAAAAGTACCGCTATCTATCTTGGGGAGAGAATACAAGTACGTACATACAGAACTCAAACGCTGCGGGGGCTCGTCCGTATTGTAAACTCCAGCGTGGAGCAGAAACTCCCAATACCGCCACAAGCCACTCAATTGCTGAGTCCAGCCCCCACACAACTAAATTTAAGGATCTTAGAAGAACGCATGCGCCATTACAAACGCGGAGAGGCGGAGCTTGAAGAAGACTGACGCAGGGCTCGACCTCTCAATTTTCTAGCTCCGCCCCCATACTGTCTTCCTCTCTGAGTGGCTGCAAGGCTGTAGAGGCAAACTTCCCATTGGCCGGTGGTGGGAGCGACATCCGGGGTACAAGTCTGGCCGGCTGGCCTTGAAGTAGCCATGGTGCGGTTCAAGCACAGGTAAGCTGATTTTTTAGGAACCCCTCGCAGTTACCCGTCCAGGATCCCGGCTTGCACTTACCTTCCTCTCACCTCCTCAGGTACCTTCTGTGTGAATTGGTGTCAGACGACCCCCGCTGCCGCCTAACTCTGGACGACCGAGTGCTGGGCTGCCTCGTGCGGGACACGATCGCCCGAGTACACGGGACTTTCGGCGCTGCCGCCTGCTCGATCGGCTTCGCAGGTGCGAGGACACTGGGGGAACCCGAATGGACAGCGGGCTTTGGAAGGCAGGCACCATAAGAGGGAGAAAGAAAGGTCCTGAGAGACTCCTGGAGCGGCGGGGCGCCCGGGATCCGAGCGGAGGTCTAAAGTTGGGCAGAGTGAAAAGGAGGGGCCTAAGCCGGGCGTGGTGGCGCACGCCTGTAATCCCAGCACTCGGGAAGCTGAGGCAGGAGGATCGTCATGAGTTCGAGGCCAGCCTGGGCTACATAGTGAGACCCCCCCCCATCTCAAAAAAAAAAAAAAAAACCAAAAAAAAAAGCAGGAGCCGGGAGGCAGTGGGACTTTGGGCAAGAATCTTCTCTATACCTGTTTGATGTTTGTATCATGGGGATTGCTATTGAATTTAATAGGTTAAGAGAGTTGGTGTATCGTTCCTAACAAGGTTACCTGACTGGTTACATGTTGCCAAAATTACCCCCTAAAAAGCCTTTGAGCCCAGCATGGTGGTGCATGCCTATAATTCCAGCACCTAGGAGGCTGAGGTAGTAGGATCACCTGAGTTCTAGGACACCCTGAACTACATAGGGAGACCTTGTCTTTAAAAAAAGAAAAAGCCTTTGAGAGCCGAAGTACTGAATGCAGGGTTGTGTATATGTAAAAACTGATGAACTGAAGCAGGGCCCGACCCCCTCTCCTTTAAAATTTGTGCCTTTAGGGCTGGGGATTTAGCTCAGTGGTTCCCGGCGCCTGCCTTGCAAGCGCAAGGTCCTGAGTTTGATCCCCGGTGCCAAATAAAATAAAATAAAATAAAATTTGTGCCTTTACCATAAACCCAAACCTGAATCTTGAAGAATTACATGAAGCAGGCATAATTCCCTTACTTCAGGTGAGACTCAGCTGTCTACTAAGAACCTACAGTGCCCAACTCCAACAAAACTGCTGCTTTTTCAGTTTTGGGTTTTTTTTCCTGAGTGAAGATGAATCTCCTCTCACCCCATTTACATAGTGACTATGAGAGTATTTTAGATCCTAAATTAATTCACCAGGCCTGAGTGGAGTGTAAGGCACTGGCCCCTCCACCATCATGGCTTGTCCTTAAAAGTTTTTTCCTCCCTCTTCAGGCATGTTTTTACTTAACTCATGTATCCTCTGAAATGCCACTTGCCTGGGGCAGTCTGTCACATAGGGTATTTCCCTGAGATTATTAACCTGATGTTTTTCTTTCTGCTGTAGTTCGATACCTCAACGTCTATACTGGAATAGTGCTACTTCGATGCCGAAAAGAATTCTACCAGCTTGTGTGGTCAGCTCTTCCTTTCATCACATACTTGGAGAACAAAGGACACCGTTATCCTTGTTTTTTCAACACTTTGCATGTGGGAGGTAGGAGTAGCATGTAGATAGCTGGGTGGGTCTTCCTACTAGCCCACTAAGAACAAGGTACTTTTCCTCAGCTTTCAAAGTATTTTAGAAACCTTTCACAATCTGCTGACCACCACAAAAACTTTCCCATGCCAGGTACAATTAGAACATGTCAGAAGTTCCTGATTCAGTACAACAGGAGACAGCTGTTGATCTTGTTGCAGAACTGCACTGATGAAAGTAAGTGATCTTAGCTCAGTGCCCACCAGTGACTGAGCTTGTTCAGCTGAGATTACTCCCAAACGTCTCATCCTCTGCTCTGCCTTTGTCCAGGAGAGCGGGACACTATCCAGAAGTCTGTCACCAGAAGCTGTTTCCTAGAGGGGTCGTCGGGTGAGGAGCTTTCAGACGGTGGTGAGGAGGCCACTGAAACAATGGAGTGAACGCTGCTTGCCACACAGCAGGCTGTACTGTGCCAAGCCCACTTGAGGAACTGGACCTTTTAGGGGGCAGGAGCAGCATCTACAGTTCTCCCGACTGGAGGACTCCAACCAGGGGACAAATGACCAGCTTCACATGGAAGACTTAAAACTGGTTTCTTGTGTCTAGCATCCCCTGGGTAAATGGTTGTGTAGGTGTGAAGCTCTGTAGACATCTTTTAGATCTAAATGCTTGGATGAGAGTAGGCTGAGTAAGTGTATAACCTTTGGGATAAGTTCCAAAACTGTTACGGTTTATAACTAGAGGTTCCCCAGAAACCTCAAGGGCTCATAGGTGGGGGGCTTTTGGGAGGTGACTGATTATGGATGTGATACTCATCGGCGGCTTAGTCCACTGTTGAGTTTATAACTAGATAGGGGATTAAGAGGTGAAGTGTGGTCAGAGGTAGTTCACCTAGGGTGTGCCCAGAAAGGGCAATCTACCCACCTCCTTCCTTCATCCTTTTTTTGGTACTGGGAATCAAACTCAGGACCTTGAGCTTGCCAGGCAGGTGCTGCACCGCCGAGCTACATCTCCAGCCCTCCTTCCTTGATCTTTGCTTCCCCACGGCCATACCATGAGGTGTTTCTCTGCCATGCCTCCCTGCCTTGGAGCCAGCCTACTATTAATTGAAACCTCTACAAACAGCCAAAATAAACCTTTCTCGCAGTTGTGGGTGTCAGGTATTGTGTCCCAGCAACAGGGCTTACAGAATTTATGCTTGACCAAGTCTCTTTCTTCATCTACAGCCCTGGCCTTGGTGAGAAGACTGGCTCCTTGTGTGATGAGTTTTAAATATTTAAAACTTGAGGCTTTGTACCTCCAATCTCCAAGTTGGAGCCTAAGCAAAACAAGTCACTTGTAGAGGTATTAGTGAGAAATAGTAACTAAATTTTGCACAGATCTATTTGCAGTCTTGGAGTTGTTTTTTTTTGGAGGGGAGCAGAACCTGAGGATTTGAACACGGGGCCTTCACACTGAGCTTTATCTCCACTTTCATGTTCAGACAGCCCAAGATGGGCTCAAACTTGTGGTCTTCCTGCCTCCCAGTGCTGGGATTTCAGGTGTGGACCACACCAGGCCTAGCTCAGTCTCAGTATAGTAAGTCCCCAACTTGGGAACATTTGAGTTGCGAACTTTCACAGGTATACTGTACAAGACTCACTTTGTTGGCTTACAAATGAACCTGACTTCCGAACAATTCTCCCAGAACAGAACTTGTTCATAAGGCGGTAATGGCCACTTTTACAGCTTTCAGTGATACAAATAGCCTGCTGTGACATTTGTGCCATAGGTTCACTACCACTGCTATAGGGCTGTATACATACTAGATTCTTTACCAATACTAACCAGGTGACTTGGTAAGAAATGTAGCTTTTGTCCAGGAGTGGTGATGTGCCCCTGTAATCTGTTATCTCAGAGGCTGAGGCAGGAAAATTGCAGATGCAAGCCAGCCTGGGCAATTTAGCAAGATCTTGTCTCAAAATAAAAGGGGCTAGGAATGTAACTCATTGTGAGGCCCTGGGTTCGATCCCTAGTACCACAGAAAAAATTTTTTTGCATGGGGGAGTGGGTGTGGCATCTCTAGGATCTGTTTTTTCTGTAATAAAAGGATGTCACTCAAAATATTTTCTGGTCTGTAACAATCTGTGATTTTTGGCTTCAGTGTGCCCCTTATGTCTGAATTGGAACACCTTCATTTACCCTGGAGAATTTTTTTGGTACCGGAGATTGAACTCGGGATCTTGTGCTTGTGAGGTAGGTGGCAGAACCACTGAGCCAATTACCAAGCCCTAACCCTGGAGAATTTCTGACCCAAAATTTCTCAAAAATGGCAAGTAAAGCTAAGCTCTGCTTTAGGCCTGACACCAGAGAAAACAAGTCCACAGGGGCAGAACTGCTCAAACTCATAGTAGCTGTTATTTTAACCTAAATTTCAAAGTCTGTGCTGCCGGGCTGGGGATTTAGCTCAGTGGCACCATGCCTGGCTCACAAGCACAAGGTCCTGAGTTTGATCCCTGGTACCAAAATAAAAACAAGACCAAAAAAGTATGTGCTGCCAAAGTGATCACTTTAACCTAAATTTAAGAACTGGGGGAAAAAAACCCCAGACTTGTCTAGCTGACCTGTGATGAACTTTTAAAACACCAAGAAGTAAACCTTGTGTTTGCATGTGATTTATTGCAACTGTGCTTTTTACATTCTAGTACACCTAGAGGTCACTTTATTAAGCAGCAAAATAATTCATATCACGCAAATTCAGCTGAAACCAAGGCATAAGAAAGCTGCTGCAGACAAAAAAGGCACAACTCCAGGTGTGCTAGAATCCTGTTTCTACAACTCGGGCCACTGTCATATAAGCTTGATTTGAATGAGGAATGGCAGGTCTTAGTGATAATTACAGCTTTCCTTACCAAGGACAGGTTTAAGGGGCAGAGCTCTCCACATAGGCGCTAGGGGTTGAATCCAGAGGTTTCACAATGAGCTACATTCCCAGTCTTTTATTTTTATTTTTATTTATTTTTGGTACCGGGGATTGAACTCAGGACCTTGTGCTTGCGAGGCAGGCGGCAAAGCGGCGGAACCACTGAACTAAATCCCTGGCCCCAGTCTTTTATTTTTGAGACAAAGCCTAAGTTACTAAATTGCCCAGGCTGGACTCAAATTTGCAATCCTTTATCACCCTCCCAGAGTGCTATTTCTATTTCTTTAATAAGAACTGGGCAGGCAGGAAAGATTCGACTATTTTTAAAGAAAAGGGCTGGGGATTTAGCTCAGTGGCACCGTGCCTGCTTTGCAAGCCCAACATCCTCAGTTCGATCCCTGTACAAAAACAAAAAGACAAACTGATGGGTGCACTGAGAGACCAGGAAGGCCTGACACATGCTGCCACAGTAGAGCAGTGCTATACCACTAGTTTGAGCTGCTCCGATGGATGCTAAAAAGGGGCTCGAACTTAATTTTGGGTTGAGACAAATACTATACATGGGTCAAAAGACTAAACTGGCCACAAATTAAAATCTTGGCAGGAAGAAAGCTCTTCTGAGTGTCAATACTTTATTTTGGTGTAAAGATGGGAAGCTGGAAAATACACTGTATTTAAAATTTGCTTGGTTCCCTCTCACATGTGGAAACCCCCTCCCCCCACCCAAGCTAATCTGTTCAAACTCAAATACTTAAAAATTACAGCAGCAAAACGAAAGCACGAAAAAAAGAAAACCAGATGAGAAGGTAGCCTGGGCCAGTAGTGTCACTTGGTATGGACGACTGAGGTGCTGAACAGGAGCTTCTGTTTCTGTTTTTTCCTTTTCTTTCCTCCTTTTTCTTCTAAAGAGAAACAGAAAGAAAACTCACTTAGCTTACAGAATATCACCCTTAGGTCCTGGCCTTTTCAGTATTAAAGTGTTAGCAGGGTCTGGAATTAGACTGCCTGGATTTAAATACTAGTCATAGCATACACTATGTACTGTCTTTGGGCAAGTCACTTTACCTCCCTAGACTTTAGTTTGTCTGTAACTTGAGATTTACACCCATTTAATATGGTTCTGGGAAAATAAAATTAGCACAATGCTAGGCATATAAAGCACACCATAAACATGTTTCTTGGTACCAGGGATAGAACTCAGGACCTTGCACTTTCGAGGCAGGCGCCAGAACCACTGACCCAAATCCAAGGCCAAACATCATTCCTGTCTAATTGTGCAGACCTCAGAGTGGGGGTGGGCACTGAACCTGCCTTTTTTATGAACCAGTCTTTCCCAACTCAATATTCTAATGTACAGGCAGGATCATCTCATCAATACTGGAAGAAAAGAGCTCCTCAGAACTTCATTTCCAGGCTTCAAGAATTAATCCGGGGGCCTGGGATTCAGCTCAATGGTTCGGCCACCTGCCTCACAAGCGCAAGGTCCAGAGTTCGATCCCAGTACAAAAAAAAAAAATTAAACTGGGGCAGTAAACAGATGCTATATGACTAACATATAAAGTGGAACATTAACACTCAAGTATGTCGAAGACTGAGACAGACTCAGAGCGGAAAGAGCCTGACCAATCCAGGTATCCACTAGATGCAGGTAGCAATGACAATACATGTGTGGTAAGTAAACAAGCCCTATGCTGAGGACTCCAGTTCTCTGCCTTTACCAGAGAGGGGATCTGAAGTAGCTGGTGTGTCCAGTTTCATGAAGGCTGCTTCAATAGCTTGGCTGAAAGAATTCTGGAAACTGGGTACAGGAACGCGGTCAGAGTTATCACTCTCTCCATCACTGTCCATAGGGGCAGGAGGAACTAAGCTATTCTCATCTAAAAAACAAAACAAACCAGTGTTAGAATTCTAGAGCTTTTATTGCAAGGAGCCAAACTTACCCTTCACCAGCAGACCCTTCTCACCTTTCTTTGGAGTTTTGGGCCACACATCTGCTTTTGCTTTTCCAACCCTCAGCATCTGCCAAAGTGGGAAGAGGAAATGAATTTAAGAATCTGTTCTAACTTTTTTCCTAGATGCTCACCTTCACACTAAAATGGTTAGGCTAGGGGCACCAAAACCAACCATCACTTTTGAAGATTTGCCAAGCACTTTGTAACACACTCTTTCAGTCATGTCCTTTAGTGGTACCTCAGCTCATGAACGGCTCATGAAGTGTTTGGCAAAATTTTGTTTTTGTTCATAAACTCTGCATCAGGTGATGAACATGACTGTGGCCATCTTTTCCAGAATCGTGGAATGAGTTAAATTTGTGAACCGAGGTACCACACTGTATATAGCAACTAATGGAAATGACAGTGCAACCCATAAGGTGGTAAAGCCTAAATTTCTCTGTTCCTTAGGAAATGAGTAAGAAACATTGTATCTATATGGTATGTGTAAAAGCTTCTCACTCAGGTTCTCAAGTTAGCAACACTAATTTGATAAACTTTGCTGCCTTTAAGACCCCTAAAAACATCAACCTGTTGGAATGAGCTATGTGTAGTAACCTCCAATTCTAAAACAAACCACCTGAGTATTGACCTTCCATAACTAAAAATTAAACCTTATCCTGGGGCTGCGGATTTAGCTCAGTGGTTCTGCTGCCTGCCTCATAAGCGCAAGGTCCTGAGTTCAATCCCTGGTACAAGAAAAAAAAAATACCTTATCCTGAAATAGCCCAACAGCATTCATTACCCTTGTAGTCTTTGCTTTTCCTATAGCTCCTTAATCATTAATTTTTAGATTCATTCATAGACTATTAATTTCTCTAAACCACAACAATCCTACCCTTGAGGAAAACTATCTTCATATCTCCTGGCTAAGGCCAGCTTTCCAGTTGCTGAGGGGCATTATGAGTCCCATCTGCCAAATATGCCAGGCAACTCAGCAGGGTGCATTATATTCCTGGAAATTATCAAAAAAGCTTCCCACAGGATTGAAGTAGGAATCCCACATCCTAAAGCATATTTCCCATAGTGACACATGCATTTCATTCAAGATGAATTGGGCTGATAGATGTTGGTTTCATTGACTAACCTTTACTTCTAATGTGTCCTCTTGATACTTGGGAGTGTATGTCCAAATAATATGCATCTGAATCTTTATAGTTTCTCTCACCCCCAAATCTGGTACTGGGGACCAGGGGCTCCTGTGTGCTAGGCAAGCACACACCCAGCTCACCTCCTTTAAAATTTTCAAACAGGATTTCACTAAATTGCCCAGGCTGGCTGCAAATTTGTGATCCTTCTGCCTCAGCCTCTCAAGTAGCTGGATTACAGGTATGCACCACCATGCCTAGCTTGACTCATCGTACTCTTAGGAAGTAATTAAAAGAGTATCATCTTTGATTTATTCTTACCAAAAATGTTTTTTGGTTTTTTTTTTTCATTTTTTGTTTTGTTTTGGTACCAGGGATCAAACTTTTCATTGCGCTTGCACAGCAGGCGACGAAACCACTGAGCTAAATCCCCGGCCCTACCAAAAATGTTTTAAGTGTTTGACCTGAATGAGGAAAACAATCAGATCCAAATTGTACCAAACTATAAAACCTATAAAATGACTGGCCTGTATGTTTCAAAAATAACCACTTGAGGAATAGGGAAGGGGAGAGACTGGAAGAACTGTTATAGACCAAGGAAGCCAAACAGATATGACAGCTCAATACAGTGAGTGATCTGATTATACCCTGAATTGAAAATAAAGGACACAGACAAATAGGGAGATACAAATGTGTACCACACGAGATATTGTAGCAGCTGAATTTCTTGGACATGGCAATTGTGGGTTATAGGAATTTTAGGTTTTTGTTTTGTTCTGTGGTGCTAGGAAATTGGACCTGGGGCCTCACATATGCTACGCAAGACCTCCACCACTGAGCTATGGCCCCAGCCTAGAGAATGATTTCATTTGACATGTAGCTCCTAAGTAGTGGTGAGGTGCCATTGTCTCTGAAACTTATTTTGTACACAAAATAAAAAGCAAATATAGAAAATAGTAAGAACTGGTGAATCTAGGTGAAATGTATGAATGTTCTTATTACTAATTTTTTTTTTTGGTACTGGGGATCGAACTCGGGTCCTTGCGCTTTCGAGACAAGTAGTAGAACCACTGAGCTAAATCCCCGGCCCATTACTATTCTTTGAACTCTTTAAATTTGGAGTT